AAATTGTTCAAACCTAAGAGGATGATTCACACACACACACACACAAAAAAAAAGTATAATAATTTTTCAGCTCTGTAAAATTATTTTAATTTTCTACGCAGATGCACTCTCAAACAATATCACCCAAATCATAGAATGATTAATTATTTTCAGATATTATCCAAGTAATCTGGTGAAAATGACTGTATTTTTTGCATATTGCAGAAAATACAAACTTTTTTCTAAAAAGGCAACTATATATTTGCTTTTATTAAATATTAATACATTTATACTGTGACAGAGTAATGTTATAAATATGTGAAAATTAAGTTTGAAAATGTTTAGTTTCTATTATGTTACATTATTCTTTTTTTTTTCAACTTACTATAGTCGTCTTTTTTTCAGTTTTTTCTAATATCATGCTCTCCAAACACAGAGGAGACACATTCTCATAAACTATTCCCACAAATCATTACATACAAAAAGTCTAGTTCTAGACTAGTTAAAAAATGAGCATTCATATGCATTGCTAAATACAGAACAATTGCATAAAACCCAACTACTGATGTGCCCTTTGATGTGATTTATGGGCAACACTGTAATACCAATCAAAATTTCATCGGCTTCATCCTTGATCTGGGGTGTGTGCTCCAAATATTACAGACCGATGCACATATATCTTCTTTGGTGAATGATGGTTCGGTCTGTGGCTTTCTCTAGCATCCGACTGAAATATCCAATGAGAATTAGGCAGCTGGTCTCAAAAGCCTCATACGCTTTAAACTTACATCTAGAAATTCAAGGGCATGTGAAACAGCCACCTTGTGTATAAACCATAAAACATTTATATGTGGTTCCAGACTGTGTGGCCATGAGCTTCTTCCTCACCAGCATCGTCAGCGTGTATCAGAAGTGGTCTCGTCTAATTACCCCTAATCTGCTTTCAGGGGTTTTACCCTCTATTCTAGTGACCCTTTGACCCTTAAAGACACATGCGACGCGAATGCGGGTGGGATCTCGGCTCCTGCCAGATACTGTTGGCAACCTCCGGTCTCTCTGCTCGAGCTCCAGCACGTTATCAATCATTTCTCGCTGCAGTCCCTGCCAGGACGTCCTGCACAAACACACTAATGCTGAAATGCAACGCTGACTGCATCATTCTTGTGTAAACACAGTGTTCAAAGGTCCGAGACCACTAGAGAAAACGCTTCTAATGTAGCACAAATCTTTCAATTTCAAAATATATTATCAGCATAACAATTTGAGTTGAGTTGAACCAAAAAATTAAAAAGACTTTTGTATGTCAGTGTACATCAGAACTGTGTTACAAGCAGGGCTGCATGATTTTAGGTAAGAACATTTCCTGAAAATTTTTTACAAAATTAAAAAAAATTTTTTTAAAGCAACACCAAGTAACTTTTCCTCTGCGGTCGCCCTACAGGTTGGAAGTGGAATTGTCCATTACCGCTGTGGTAAATAATTTAGCCGAGCGCATCCTACTGTCGCACACACACTCGCTCGGCTTTGGAATGAACGATGTCCACAGACAAGGTAGAGTATGTTGCATGATTTCATGAAAGTATGATGTATTGCGACATCAGCAACGAAGAAAAACTAAATAATGACTATTGTAATGCTTGACGTAAAGCACGTCGAATTTGTAGTTTTCTTATTAGAACTACAGAAACGCGACCCGATCTGGCAATCTTACATAGCGTGGTTATAGCAGATATAGGATCCAGAAGTGCCTTTCACCCTGTTACGACTTAATGAACCACTGAAACCATTTTGGAAACATTATTTTAAGGTAAAAAAAATCTTACTTAGTGTTGCTTTAAAAGATCCAGGTTTGCTGTGCTTTTTTGTAGGATTCCAGAATCAGAGCAACATTTTTGTGATTATATATCAATTAACACAATTTAATGTAATTATAAATTAATGCTTATTTTATTATTAATATATATTATAATTATTATTGTAAAATAAAATATTAAACAAAATAAGAAATATTACTATTAGAATAATACTATTGCACTGTAAAATAAGAAATTAGTATTTTAGAAAAATAGCAGTACATATTGTAGTAACTGTTAAATTATTAAAAAAAATAATTATACTCAATTTGGGGGGAATATTATAAAAAAAATGTAAATAAAAAAATGTAAATAAATAAAAAATGAACAAGGCTTTTGGATGTCAGTGTTATATCAGAGTTGTGTTAGAAGCAGGGCTCCATGATTTGAGGGAAGAAAATTTCCTGATAAAAATTGAGTTCCCCCTATCTCCAGTCCTGGTCTCACCATAATAACCGGTACATCACACAGGTTATTTCAGTACAGTAGCTGCCTGTAATAATCCTGAGCAATAAAACTAATTCACAACAACATGGCTGAACGTTAATGAAAAAGAGTTGGGGCCATCACTTACTTAATGTACTTACATGCATGCAATAAAAACTAAATGTTTGTTTTTGGGGTTACAGCAGCAGCAATATGAAATGTTATGATCATATAAGATGAAATGCCATACCACAGTTAAAATCCCCATATATGACAAAATAATTGCAATATGATTCGTGCAGCCCAATATTTGAATAATTTAAAAATAAAAACAATCTAAATAAAACACTTTCTGTCATTTGACCGTGATCAATCATCACAGCACCGAGAATATGCAAATGTGTTGGTAAATTATTAAAATATTACTACCTTAAAATCTAAGTACTTCACATAAGTATTTCACATCTAAGTGGTTTGTCTGACAATAAAGTTGGGAATCGCTGATTTAGGCCATAAACACCTGCAATAGTGCCCCTTGTGGCCATGCTGGAAATCCAACGCGCACCTGACATGACAAAATATCTGTAATAAAATCAACTACGATTTGAGGGAAATATCTAAATTAAACTTCACATTCCAACATCCAATAGACCTTATTCACCAGAGAAACAAGCGCGGAGCCATCTTTAGAATTAATTAGCTGGTGAAGTGGATTTATTTATTTATTGTAGAGTTAACGAAAGTCATCATGAGCATTGTAAAGTTTGAAGTGGATGTCATAGACCGGGAACTTATTAAAACATTTATAAATCTGTAAGATCTTACCTTCATGCTGTGGAAATACAAACCGGAAGATTGAACATGAGGAGCGCGGAGCTGAAAAGGGGCGGGGCTACATGAGCTCTATAGAGTAATCAAATTCTAATTGGATCATTTCTGACTTGTGACAAAAAAAAAATACAAAACAAGCATAGAGTTTAGTGAGAAGAGGTGCTGTTAAGTTTTCATGTGTCAAACTTATATAAAAAAAAAGTTTAAAGAAAAACATGTAAAATAAATAAATAAATTGAATAAAAATAAATAGGAAAATGTATTAAATATAAATATAAAATATTTAAATAATTAACTAATACCGTAGAGTAGGGATGCATGATATATCGGCCACCATATCGGTATCGGCCGATATCGGTTAATTTTTAATGTTATCATTATCGGCCCGATAAGAAAATTTGGTCGATATATTAAAGCCGATAAATAATGGATTATTTCCTTCAGCTGAGACGCTTCAGATGCGCACTGTTCAACATGATGGTATTGAATTGCTTGAAATATGATTGGAATTACTTCAAAAAAAGAAAATACAGTGAAGTGCAACATGTACAGTGCAAATCTGTCATATCGGCTACATAAAATCACAATGAGAACATTATAATTGTGTGTTTGGGACATGGATTTTATTGGTCAAACTTTTGTTTTTGTAACCAGGCTCTCAAAAATGACATAAAAATTTGGATTTAGATTTATCGGCCAATATATCGGTTATCGGCTTTTAAATATAAAGAATTATCGGTTATTGGTATCAGCCAACATTTTCATATCGGTGCATCCCTACAGTAGAGTACTATAGTAAGTTGAAAAATGTAATAATGTAACAGAAACTACACAATTTCAAACTTAATTTTCACTTTACTCAGTCACAGTATAAATGTATTAATATATAATAGTTGCCTTTTAAGTTTTAGACTGGGGCTTCATTGCATGAGGATGATCATATTTGGGGGATCTGAAAGATTGAAAACTAAAGCCTTTTTCTCCGAAAGTGTCCGAACGACGGGTCCAAAGACTGTAAATATAGACGTACAACTGCACTTCAGACTCAAGGCAAGGTCGTCCCTCTCTGGCTCCCTAAAATAAACAGCACCATACTCTTCTCTGCTCTCGTTCCACAGCTTTCATGTGGAGCCAGAGACAGGCTGAGCATGATGGGTAATTCACCACTCAGCTGTCGACCCCCGAGAACACACACATACTGCAGGATTCACTAACCCATAAATCTCACACGCGACATCATGCAAATCATTAGAAAACATCAGAACTGATATGGTGGTCAAATGTAGTTTCTCTAAGGTCTTCACTTAATGTGAAAGCTGTCACAGTTTTAAGATACTAAAAATAACCAGAAACCCCAAAGATACTGTAGTACACCAGTGCAAGAAGATAATACCATATACTGAAATTAATAGGCTACTATATTTTTATGGCACTCCGAGATTTTCATGTCTCAGAATTGAGACCACATTGCCATGGATTACAAAAAATTAGCATAAAGTACAATAATACTGTTTTTATTTTAATTTTATTTTTTACATTTTGCTACCATAGTATTCTTGGAAACTAGTGATCAACCGTTAATCGGTTTTACCGATATTTCCCCGATATTTGCATTAACGTTATTACATAATCGGATATCGGTTTTATTTTAATAGGCCTATTACCATCTGTTACCATAACTTTACCACGAATAGGCTACTTAAAAGAAAAATCCATAGCCCACATGTCCAAGAAACCAAGATTTAAATAACATTAAATTATTTTAAAATATCTTAAGTAGTGGTTTAAATTATCTACGCTACATCATATTTATGAATCCTGAATGATTATGATTCATAAAGTGTTTCCAAACTCTTCAGGAACAATAAGTTTAATAACACTTTGCTAACCGATATAAACTAGTCGCCTTACCCTTAATACTTATTCCGAGTCCTCCGACCTCTTGTTTGGTGACTCTGACGGTTCGCTTGACGTTGGTGATGGTGTCCGGTACCGGGGAGGCGCTGAGGTTCGCCGGATCCCCGTTAACAGCTCCGGGCGCGGGCGAGCAGCTGTTCCCGGTCTCATCGCCGGTTTCTCCGGGACTCACGGTGAACGAGTCCTCGCTGAGAGTGGCAAGCACGCGGATCCAGTGGTGAACGGTAACGCGGAGCTCCAGCAATCCGCTCCTCACGGGCTTCACTGCGGCCGCCATGATCAACACATTCCTGGAATACCAGCGGAGCGACGGGCGCTGCAGTCCCGAACTCAACTCACTATAACCCCCTCCTACTCTCTCTCTCTCTCTCTCTCTCTCTCTCTCTCTCTCTCTCTCTCTCTCTCTCTCTCTCTCTCTCTCTCTCTCTCAAAAGGACTTTGGTTTTAATTATTCTTTTATCTCTGGCACTGCAAAATTAGTAATCTGTAAAACAAGAAAAAATAAACTTCTAGGCAGATGCAATAAGTGTGGTTCCGATGTTTTGGGGCTTGTGGCAGCTAGACTAGAAGTAGAGTTTGCGTAGTATAAGTTGGTGGACTGTTTACCAAAGTTTGTAGAAATCTGGGGTGTTAATGAGATAAATTAATTGGTGTTGACTTTTTAAATATAGGCTACATGTGTGTAAAAAAAAATTTGTTGGATGAAGTGTAAATAATACCGTAATTCAAGACTAAATTGTTACAATAAAGGTGTAGGCCTATTTAAAATTCAAATTCTCTCTCTCTTTCTCAATTCACTTTTTTTCTTTCAACTTTCATAAACAGATATTGGGGAAAACATATAACAGATCTTACACTGTACTGAGTAAAACATTAAATTCTACAAATAATTTTTTTCAATATAAGAAATGTTTGTATATGCATCTTATTTCTAGTGATTAAATATTTAAGTAATAGAATATTTTAAGATTCTCAATTCACTTGGTTTTGAATTAGTTTTCAAATTACTTTATTGTGATATCCTCCCGAGACACAGGGAAAAAAAAGTTGTAATGAATTAAGTATTTTTTCAAGTCATTACATGTTGTTGTTTTTTTTGTTTTTTTAACAAAGGAATAGGCTTTTGTCCTCTGTAGTGGACATTACATTTGAGTAAATTTCTTTGGCACAGTGCATGTCAGTCTGGAAGTCGTAAAGAGCAGATTCAGGGCTTTTCAGAAATACCAAATACCAACTTTTCCTTGCTTTTTAAATATGACGTACATTAATTTAGTGATCAAATGTAGAACTCTTATGGAAATATGATAATATTTTTATCATTATAAATAAATATCATTTCAAAATGTTTGTCATAAATTAACATCTCAGAAAAATGTTATGGGGTTTCTGATCAAAATATGACTTTCTGTTATGAAACAGAACATTGATTTCATACACCAGGACTTATAGCATGTTTATCAGGCATTCTGAGTGAAATTATTTATCAATTTCCCAATGAAATATAAGATATTATTATAAAAATGTTGCCAATTAAGAACACATGCAATTAGATACAGTGTAGATAAATTGTATTGAATGGCACTACACATTTATGGCCATTTCACCCGCATATGCATAAAGTAAAATGGTATATCAGTTCCCATTATATCATTCATAACATATATAGCTGAGAATCATCTTTACACATAGTTTGGTTAAAATCTTTTCCCCCGTTTGTTGATTAAGCTCTAAACAATGTAATGACATGAAAAATACTAAATTCACTAAAAAAAAATTCTGGGTCTTTCAATTCTGGAAGATATGTTTCACAGTGTGTGTGTGTGTGTGTGTGTGTGTGTGTGCAGTATTTGAGTCCCAGTGCAGGACTCTTTCAGTGTGGAGTTTGTATGATGTTCCTCTGTTTCAGTGTGTGTGTGTGTGTGTGTGTGTGTCATAACTGATGTCATAACTGTGGTATTTTGGCATAACATTTATTTATAGTACATTTTTAGCATACTATATTTTGTGAGTGTATTATTTTTATCTCCGGATCTCAGCTGTCAGATAAAGCACAGCTGAAGCTCTTCATCTGAAGCTCATCTCCAGACTCCTGCTAATGTTGGGAAACAATCTCGTTTGCATTGACGGTACAGTGTGAAACTATTCGACCTAATTCCCGAAGAAAGGCTCTAATTAGTCTCTTCATACGCGGAAAGGTTTGGATTGTTCCTCAGCAAACACAAGGACCCAGAGCTCCTCACTGACACACATATAAATCACTGATTCTGCAAGCTTTGTTCAGTCAAGTTTCTTTTACTGTTCAACACAACTTACTGTACAACTGCAGTGTTGCATCTGTTCAGTGTTTACAGATTCCTCTCCTCGATAGGAGTAACTGTGTCTCCCTCTAGTGGAAATCATTCTTCAACTGCACTCATGTGTAAATGAACAATTGATTAATTTACAGTCTATGGTAAATACCAACATTACTGTTTTTCTCAATTGCTAACCAGCA